TTGAAATAAATGAAGGCTTATTCTTAAGAATGAGATTATAGTGAAAAACTTTTACTGTTTCTGCCTGCTACAGGTTTTCAAACTCACACAAATAGCTTTTGAAAAGGAAAAAAAACATTGTATCAAATAAGCTAAATCATTATTTTCTGATAAGGCATAATAAACAGTTCATTCTACATATATGGTAGACTTGAAGAAGGCTGTAGAATGGATTAGCCGAAATGCAAATTGAAGCTAGCATAAATATTATCACTGGAGAACAGGAATTGTGAGCTGAATTGAAAATCCAGCCTCATTTGCTCTGTTCACTTTCATGCTTAGATTCATACCTTTGCCAAAAAAATATTTCTTTTCCTTTCATCTATGGGTGAAATAGCAGGGTAAATTTTTCTCTCTAGCCCTGGGTGGTAGCTAGTTCAGGAGTATAAAGATTCTGAATTGTAAACTCTGGTAACTTTCCCAAGAAGAGAAATTCCCAGAGAAAAAAAAAATGAATCTGGGAAGAGCCATGATCATGAATGACCGGAAGGGGCATGACAATAAAAAAAAAAAAAAAAAATTACAGACAGAAATAAGATAAAGAATGAGCTTAATAGTTTGAAGAAATCTTGAAATGATGATGACTCTTCCAAAAATTATAAAATAGATTATTATTATTATTATTATTATTATTATTATAATTAGTGATAATGTAATTTCATTTCCAATATTAAGGCAGTTGTCAAATTATAATCATATTTAGAAATAGAGAAAATTCCCTGATGCAGTCAGGTAAAAATTTTGGTTAAATCTCTAATCATTTTTATCAAATTATAGCAAATATTAAAATAATATTGAAAATATTTCTCTGATAAATATTGCTGATTACTTCACTTTTATTTTCAATGTGATTAGACTCTTCTAAGATTGATAATGTGTGTAACAGCTTTCTTCTGCTATTGTTTTGCTATGTAAGGTAGATTTGGGAAAGTGGCCTTCCAAAGTATATCACTTACTTTTGTATCAAACATGGGATGACAATGATTATGACCTGTTGTCAAAATATTTGTTTATAGGAAAGTTTAAATGGAGAAAAGGATTCCAGCCTTTCTAAAAAAAATATTAAAGAAAAGTGGCCAACAAGTGCATTAATGAAAAAGAAATAAAATGATGACAGAGCCATGTTTGGTAGCAAGACTTTGGCAACAGCAGAATGAAAGTGAAGCAGCAAATGAAGGAGTTCAAGCATCACAGCAAGGCTACAGTGGTAACTGTAGGTAGGCAATAAGGATGTTAGGTTTAAGGCTCCAAGTTATAGACTAAAGATTGTCCTATGGCATAGTAATTGTGAGTTTTGAGAACTGAATAGTACTAAAAAATAAAGATACATTAACACTATTTCAGATTGTTGTCTAATCTTTATTGTCATACTCAAAATGTTTCACCCATTGTACGTTCCAGCCTTATTTATGTGATATACATTGGAATTTCAAACTCAACCTTTATTTCGTGAATTGGGGTAAAGTGTTCTAGTTCCACATGCCATGCCTTTTCTGGATCTCTCATTTTCAGTTATTTTCCTTTTGTAACTCAACTCTCCAAGTTTTTGTTCACCTCTGCTGTAGCCAGATATTGAACTCACAGCTCTTTTGGTCAAGCCACTGGATTACTTCAATGAATTCTTTTATTCACTGGGCTCCAACAAAAACTTTAATGTATATCACCTGAAGAAGGCCAGAGCATACAATGGCTGAAACACTGTGAATATGACAATAAGGAAGAGGATAACAGTCTGAACAATGTAAATAGTAAAATGGCTCATCTCAGAAATACAGACAGAAGAGACATACTTAGATATATTGTTCTCATTCCACTGTATATATCTATGTAGAGTTCATTTTAAAACTCCCAGAATGTTAACTGTATCAGGAGACACCTGAAGAAGGCTAGAAGTAACACTAGCTGAAACATTGTGATAATAAAATGATGTCATTAGTATGACTGTTATTAATCAAAAGGATTAGCTCAACTGAAAATATGATTTGACAAGACATTTTTATATTAATAAGTATTTTTCTACCTGAAAATACCACATCATTTTACATCTGTAAAACATATTTAGCAAAGAAATAAAAATCTAAATCAATATAATGATAGTGCAATTAAGGAAAAACATTGGAGTGATACTTGTCAGACAAAATTTTTACAAAAGATCGACATGAAAGAATGTTGCCAGAGGTGAAGTATTCTTCTTCATCTCAAAGACAAACTCAGGTAGTTTTACATTTGTAGAATGTTAAAGTAAACAATGGTTTGATGTCATTAGGAACTTATTTCACTGAATGTTCTTTGCTTGGTCCACAACACAGGAAACATAGACAGAGATTTTTGTTTTTTTGCTTACCTTTGCATTGTTTTACTTTATTCTTATCTCCATCAGTCAATCATTTTCCAAGGCACCTGTGAGCAATGTTGCTTCATTCCATTATATGTATTTTCATTGTAATATGGAATCACTTAAAAATGATAACTCTCCCACCTGACCAGCATCAGATGTTCAATTTGACTATCACTCATTGGATACTTGCTTTTATCTTTGCGACCTCACCTGACTAAGACATGCAACCACAAAGGTGGTATACATATTGAATTATCCAAGCTAGTTACCATAAGATCTACTGAGACTAGAAAAGAAGTTTGTTTCCTATTCAAAATAAGAATTAGGTAAAGACTTTCAATGTTCCACCTGAAATGATGCCATTAGGCTATTTAAGATAGAATTATGAATTTTGTTTTAAGTGTAATATTTCCAGAGACTTTTTCCAAACATTTAACATAATTATGATTAAAAATGAATTTTTCAAATATTCATTGATTTCAATATTTAAGTATTTGTTGATTTTTGAGTAAAAACTTTTACCTTTTACTTTTCATTAAATTTTAGTATATTTGTGAAAAGCATTCAACACAAAAATTTTTAAAACGTCCCAATTCAAGCCTTTACGCAGCTGCAAAGAATATAAATTCTTTTAGTGCTAAAATTTTGGCTTAATTAACACTATTCATTCATACATTGTTGCCTGGCTATGCTGGCCTATTTTAGGAAAATAGAAAATTTTTATTCACTAAAAATAAATGGTTATAAGACATCCTGTTATGACCTGCTGCATTTTCCTCAATGCAGTCTTGCTACCCTCTGCAAATGTTAAGATGAGCCACATTTTTTTAGATCAACCAGCTATAACATTTACTTCCAGGATATGCTATTATACTCCCATGGAGTTGAATCACCTTTATTTCCCATGTATTCCAAATCTAAAGAGAAAATTCTACTCAGACAGCATTTTTCTCAAGAAATACTACTGTGTGGAATGGACTTCATCATGGGTACTTCCCTGAACAATATGATTTTAACTTCTAGTTACGGGTCAATTGTTATCTATCACCTTTCTCCTCATGATCTTTTCTTCCTACTGCACTTTCCTTCTATCATGTCACATACCTTATTCATTAGTATTTATTAGTATTTCTTCACCTTGAGTGGCTTTCAAGCCTTGTATTGGGTGAATTTAAAAGGGTCTTTCATTAAGATGGATCAGAGTCTGCAGTAAATAAATCAGTGTTATTGGTGAAAATTTATTTATTTCTCTATTGGATTATGTTACTTAAATCATGGCAATTATGTGTGAAAAATAACATCGCCCACATGTTCACCAAATCTGAATGAAAAAGAATAAAATCATTAGACACTTAAACTTAATTCACATTCAAAATTGGTCCAAGTTATTGAAACACTCTTATGTATTAAAAATAATTTTTAATAAAGTTCTGAATGAGTGATAAAAATGATGATTAACTTAAAAAGATTAACATGGATTTCTGCCAAATTTTCTGAATGAAAGTCAGATAAAAATGGAAAAGAACATAAAATTAATTTATAAATATTATCTATTTGCTAAAATTATGTTCAAAACAATTTCCTTTCAACACTGATATTCAGAGAACTTAAAACGATTTTTTGGTTACTTATTTTAGTGTATCATTTTCCTTCAAATTATTGCTACATGATGCAAATAGTGGATTAGTTAAACAAATTAACTGTAAATTATCAACAGTGCCTATTTATAGTTACCTGTCATTTATATTATTTCCAAGTAATACTGTTTTTACATTAACAAAAGTAGCATAGCAATTGTTTTAAATGAAGTGGTTAATTGAAATAAGTGTTGCATTAAAGTAATAAAATGTCATGTCAGGATGATGAGTAAATTCAATGTGCCAGTGTCAGAGGTCAATAAATAGGGGTTCACTTGCTTGGATAATATTGCTGGTTAGCTGATTGATTGATTTGTTTTTCAAACCTTTGCAGGTTATTCAAAGCCAGTAAATATTTTTAGATTGTAAGAATTTGTTTTTAAAATAGTGATACGAGTCTTACTAATTAACCCATAGCTGCAGAGAGAAGAGGTGGATTCATAACTTTCTCAAGGGTATTTGCAAGTGAATATAATAAATCTACTGGGAATTGGAACTTGACTCTCTCTGATTAACAATTCTGAATATTGAACCACCTGCACATCCAAGCTCTCAGCACCTGATATTCCCAAGCGGTCATCCATCTATGTACTGACCAGGCTTGAAATTGCTTAACTTTGTGGATTGTACAGTGTGTTTCTACGTGATGTGGTAGTAAACCTGTTGCTGGTTGATGTGAAGTCGAGTGAAAGTGATGAATATATAAATTGAATAATGTTTGATCTGGTAAAGGAAATAAAAAAAAAATAGAGCTGGAATAAAAGGATCAGAAGGTAAAATAAATAGGAAATGTAAAAGTAAATGGTCATTTATCCGTCAATCACCTGACATGAACTTGTAACAGAAAGTAATACAGAGACTTTTATGAACGACAGCTGACAAATTTGTATGACACCAAAACAGAGAAGAAAATACAAAACAGGATAAGTAGATCAAAAGTCAAGACTAATAATATTACTAATAATACTAAATATATGAAGAGTCCTTACAGCCATATCACATTGAAGTACTGGTTCCCATATGATCACCAAACTTAAGCAACATTGAGCCTGTTCAGCACCTAGATGGGTGACTGCTTGAGAATATAAGGTGCTTTAAGCTTGGATGTATGGGTAGTTTAATGGAGAATGGCTCAGAATTGCTAATCAGAGAGCAGAATTCTTTTCAGTTGAATTCATTATATTCACTTGAGAAAGTTATGAATCCACCTATTCTCCCCCTAGCTATAGATTAATCAGTAAGACTTTTATCAGTAAATCAATGAAATTGGAACTCTGCTCTCAGATTAACAATTCTGATACATTATCCACTATACCACCCATACATCTAAGCTTACATCACCTGGTATTCCAAAGCTCTCACCCATGTAGGTACTGACCAGACTCAGTATTACTTAACTTCAGTGATTGTACAGGAACTGGTGTTTCAATATGTGGCCAATAATGACCGTTACTATGAATATTGTTTTCTCAGTCATAATAAAAACAAAAAAAAATGGCTAAGAAAATCAAAAGTGAATACTAATAGTACTGATAATAATATGAAAAAGAATGTATAATATGAGCTAATTGAAAAGTAAATAATATTCTGGATTATAATATATAATAATAACAATAATAATGAAAAAGTAAAAGAAGAATTATAGAAAAGGTAGCGAGATAAAAAGTGATTAGTGCTACTAATACTTACTAGTAATACATAAATCCAAGTGAAAAACATTAAAGAGGAAATATAAAGATTATTTTCCACCTCTAGGTATTTATCTATGAATTTATATGACTTAGTTATTCAGAATTCTCAGACATAGATACAAGCAAGAACATATCAAATAGAAATATTAAGAAAAGGAAAAGATGGCAACATTGATGAGAAGGAAAAAGACAGCAAGATGGTGAAAAAAGAAAAACAACAACAAAAAAAAAGCCGATTCAAAAGGGCAGAAAAGCTAAAAAGAAAATCTCAATTCGTTTTTGTCTTAAATCTCAATGGGAAGGAAACTAGAAAATCCTCTTTAGAGAAATAGCTTTGAAACACAATACTTTGAAAGCTTTCCTTATCCATTTGCATGGCATATGCCACCCCAGCGCGTAAATCCTGTGACTGACAGAAGACGGTGATATATGTACATCATGCAGGGTTGGGGATGTGTGCGTCATTCATATGAGAAAAAAAATATTTATGATATTTCCGATGAACTGCATATTAGATTACTGCATTGAACTGCAGTTGTAACCCTAAACAGGAAAATCAATAAGCAATGATGCCTGTTGCTATTATTCTTGAGAATTTATTCAATACCATTGATGGGATGGAGAAGTGGGTGAAGCATAAGTCACCCGAGTTTTAATGATACATTACCGAAACACATTGATGCTTGATTTTCCACAGGCAACAATCATTTGATATGTATAGTTCAAAACCTCCTCAGTATTAAGTAATAGATCTATCTCTATGTGTGTGTGTGTGTATATATATATATATGTATGTATGTATGTGTGTGTATGTATATATATATATATATATATATACACACACATATTGCAGGTTCATAAACTTACTCTATGTACATGTATACAAATTTATTTGTACTTGTATAATTTGGATATATGTCAAACATAATTCACTGAGAATGTTTGCATTATTTTTTCAAATATTTGTTAGTGAAAGAGTACTCTTTCAGAAGCTTTCCAAATTTTATGAGTCTCCATTTAAATTAATTTTAAATCCATCATCAGACGTAACTTTTATTTGATCTGATATTATATTTCTACCTTGTAGCTAAAATGCTGATTCCTTTAGATTTATGTTCTTGGATTATTCTTCAGTTTATAGCCTCTTACACACACACACACACACATACATATATATATATATTTGTGTATTTAGGCAGCAATCCTTCTTTCATGCATATTTCATTGAATATGACAGACAAGGTGCTTTTATTGAGTTTTTTTATCCAATTTCTCATGCGATCTAATAATTTTTTTCTTTTTGGGTGATAAATTATATAAAAACTGTCTGAATGTTCTTTTTATCCAAGCGCTTTCGGCTATATATTTAGCCATTTTCAAGGATTCAATATTTTAACTGTTAAATAAGAAATAGTTTGTTGCATGTATGTTTTATAAAATGTTTTCATTTTTCAAAACACGCTCAAGATATTGTGTCCATGTTCATAGTTTCATATTATTATGCGCTTAGATAAAAAGAACATTCGGACAGTTTTTATATAATTTATCATCTGAAAAGAAAAAATTATTAGATCGCATGAGAAATTGTATGAAAAACTAAATAAAAGCACCTTGTCTGTCATATTCAATGAAATGTGTGTGTATATATATATATATATATATATAAACACTTGTTTCATGCTAGACACAATCATCAGGCCACGAGTGTTGTTTTTTTTCTCAGCTATTTATATCTATGGGTCAGTGGTGCATTGTGGGTAGTCTATTTTGGTGGTTATTTTGCCAGAAGTCATTTAATTGTTTGTTTATTTATTTGGCTTAGATTATTTTGCTTGTTTTTATATATTTTTATTTTTTATTTCTATTTCTTATATATTTATTTATTTATTTTTATTTTAATCGGTGTTTTATTAACATAGCAAAAATTTCTTTGTATCTCTTATTTATTAGTTTTATTTTGGTTTGTGAAGATAATTAAAGCTATTTATTCAATTTTTGGGTTGATTGCTGTAGTTTATTCTAACTATTATTTTAGCAGGAGCAGTTTTTAATTTGTTTATTATTTCATTTATTTATTTGGATTGATTATCTTTACTTGATTTTTTTAACGATTAATTTATTAGGATCGATTTGTTAGTTTATTCATATATTTGGATTAATTTAGATTAATTTATTTTACTTGTTTTTTATTATTGATTTTTATACTGTATATTTTTATTTACTCTTTCCGGTTTTAGCAATGTTTTTTGATTTTTAAATAACATAGTAAAAACTTGTTTTTATAAAAATTGAAAACTGCAAAAAAAAAAAAAATAAAATAAATAAGTGTTGTAGTAGGATCCACTTAATTTGCATAGTGGAGTGCCGACCATATAAATATGGTTGGTACCGGGAAGAGAGGGAGGAATCAAGAGATTCAACCAGAGACTTTGCCCGACTGCAACTCAGTCAACACATTCTCCAGGAACGGTCTTACCAGGAATATACAAAAGACTATATGTAAATATTGTGTACACTTTCTTGTTTCAATACATTTTGTTCTAAGTACATTTTGTGTTGCATTATTATTTCATGCATTAGTCAAGTTTCAACAATAAGTAAATAAATAAATAAGCAAAATGACAATAAAATAAGTAAAATAAATTAACACAAACAAATTACCAAATCACACCTGTTAGAATAGATGAAATAGAATGAATAAATAAAAAACAAAATCAATGAATTCAAATAAATAAAGTAAATAATCAACAGATTAACAAACCATTATGACTAAAATATTAGTTAGACTATAAAACTCAAACCAAAAACATAGCTATAACTTTTATATAATGATAAAAAAAATACTACGTTACTTAAAAATCGAAAACAAATAAACAACTTCTGGCAAAATAACTTTTATATTTACACATGCTCTATCTGATACTGAGCACTATAGCACACCTTAAGAGTATATTTTTTCATATATATATATATATATATATATATATATATAATGACAATGATGAGTTGGTTTCTGAAGCTTAAGGAAGTTTAAATATTAAAAACTGTTTCAAGTTTAAGGAAAGTAAAACAAACTGCTGAAGCCTTTCTATAGATTTATGTTTTGTAGCTTCAGAGCAATGTCACTTAAATTAGAATATAATTATATTACTTTCAAACTGTTTTTGTTTTCTCTTCTTAGCTTTGTTAAGACATTTAAGGCTGACATTTCCAGAAGTTTATTTTTCTCCTTTTTATTGGCTTTTTCTTTCTTTCATTTTGGTCACTGTAATTTTCATCGATGACATCTGTTTTCTTACCAAATTATCAGTTTTATACACAAAAGGACTTATTTGATTAGGGACTGAATATTTTTAATGTTTTCATTGAAAGTAAAATAAAAAAAAAAAATTAAAGACAAAAGCTGATTCAGTCAGATACACAATTAGAACTTCTCTATTGCTTTTGCTATTTTTTTCTTCTTGGACAATTTTTGAGTTTGTTTATTTGTTCCACTGAAAGCTAACAGAGGCAAAACTCATTCTGAAAGTAAGAGTTCTACGATCATGTCAGACCAGTGTTTTGTAAGCAAAAATGAGAAACAATGTTATCAAGAATGTTCTCTCTTTGCCAATACAAACATGTCTGTTTTTATTAAAAAAAAAAAACACATATTCAAATATATAAACTATAATTGTGAAAATGTGTTTCCAAGAAGGGCGCATGGGTGCAGTCAGCATTTTGTCAACAAATAAAATTTTTTGAAGTAAGATCAAATTCTGGGTTCCTTTTCTATCATGTCTTCAGAAAGAGATGAATTCAGTTCTTCAAGTGCTTACTCCCACTGCTAGTCCTATTAACTGTGGTCTTTTTGCAGGCATGTAGTGGTTGTAGCCAAAGTAGAAAATGAAAATTAGCATCATGTTCAGTAATTTAAATTCTGATATGACTTTCACATGACAACTATTGAGAAAAACATAATTCCAGATTTATTCTTACACTGTTCCATTAATAGCTAAATTATATGTTGTCTTATCACTTATCATTGCCTTTTGTATATCCTCTGTACCTTTCAGGATGTGAGCAATCATGGCTCTATAAAACTTTCTCTTCTTTGTAGCTCTGAGTAAGATTTGTTTTTTCACCATCCCAACTGTTTTGACATCCATTTACACAATCTTTTTAGGTAGCTTATTTATTGTTTCCCTCATTTTCAAGATGTCTTGTAAGTATCAAACTCCTCAAGCCTTCTTTCCTCAGCTGTTATAAAAATTTCAATTGTCACTCTCTTATTCTCAGTACAATGATCATTTTTGTTTCAATTTTCCTTAAAACTTCCTCATTACTCATATGATCAGTTGGTGGTATTCTCAGCATTGTTCTGTAGAACCACGTCTTTCTTGCCTCAAATCTCTGATTCATCT